CCCATGCCGGATAGCTGGGAGCCTCGTGACGTCCTCCTCGCTGATGTTCCGGACTGCGTGGCGGCGTACGAGGCGGACCTCGCACCGGTGACGGATCGCGCTGAGGACGCGCCCGTCCGGCGCGCCTAGCCTCGTCCAAGGCTCGCTGATAACGTCCGATCACGTCCCTCTCCACTTCAGTCACAGGCACCGCCTCCACTCTTCACGATCCGGTCGCGCGACACCAAGCTCGCGACAGTGCGGACACCCATCGTCGTCGCTTCTTCGCCAGCTTCTGCCATCTCGGCTCCAAACGCCAAGTGTGGCGTGTTCTCCATCTGAAGCGGGGGATGGTGTGACGGGCCGTTGTCATACAACAGCTACCGTGTCCACCACGGTAGCCAATCAACACGTAGAACCGACTAAATGGCTGGCGCGGTCTCTCGTGTCGAGACCGCGTCGCTAACTATCAATCTCAGAGTCATATTTGCCTGCTTCCTCGATCCTTCCAGTGTACGCTACAGTAACGGTACTTCAGTCCCGTTACAGCAACTGGCTTGGCGATTGGTGAATCACCTGTTATTGGCATGAAGGCAATCGGATTACCGCCACATCTAGCGGTTGCTAAGAAAATAAGTGAGCTACAAGAGCAACTATCTGAAGTCTGCGCAGAAATGGAAAAACTAAAAACAACTATGACAAATTCACTCCCAAACGAAGTAGCGGCGAAGGTAGTAAATGAAATGCGACAGCATTTTGTGGTTAACGGTGTGGCTCCGGTATATTTGCGCGATATTGACATGAGGATTGACAGTCTGCGAGCCGACCTTGCGTCAGAGTTTCGTCACACTTTTAGTGAAGTCCAGCATAATAACGAAATCACTGTTCCCTCAATTACTAACACGGTGCAGGTTCCTGTGTGGAGATCGTGGAATTGGAGCAATGGTCAAATCGGTCATTCTGTTCCGATTGTATTTGAATTTCCCGCTAGGGCTAGTGTAAAGCTTATGCTCAATTTGTGGTATTTCGGCACAAAGACACTGGAATTCGCCCATATAGACTGCTCAGTAAGAAGCACAATATCAAGCCGCAACATCATATGCGGCGCTCGCGTGTTCGAGTAGTCATGGAACTCATTCAGAAGGTTGCTGAGGAGTCCTCCGTGTTTCCAGCAGGGGTCACGAAAATCTATGATCTTGACCTTCAAACAGCAGATAAGGCTTCTGTACCATCTTCGAGACGATGCTTGCAAAGTTGTACCGCGATACTATAATCGCACTTGTAAGTATCGAAAGAAGAAGAATAATCAGTAACTTTGAATCAGATTTGTTTTGCTGAGTTGACCAATCAAGCCACGATTTCGACCTGTGATCTGCTTCTTATCACAAACACAGGCATTATTTACGTTTCTAACATGTCAAGAACGGTTTGTTTTAACAGACATTATTATTAAACATTCAAAATCGATTTTTACAGCATGGTTTAGTAACGTTTTTCTTACATAGTGTACAAGTTTTCTAATCGACTCACTCATTTCTATGGATTGGTCATCTACGTATAATCGCAAATCAAACTGATAAAAACGTTTAAACTATTTTTATTGGGTCTAAAACCCGGTCATTTTGCTCAACATTGTGCATGAGTCATGATGCTGGTGCCAGAACTCTTGTGCATAATGAATCTTCAATATCAGATTTTCTATTGGTTTTAAAAACGCATAACCACGAAATCCTCTGACTAAAAAAAACGTTTTTTTTCACATTTGTTTTTTATACTCTTCGAAACGTACCAAATCTATTTCTCATTTCAGGTTATTGTGCTCGCACTGCGAACCAGGAACCATCGAGAACTAAGCTCCGCGTCGGGTTAAGATGAACCTTGAAATGAGATTCCGATTTCACCAGTGCTGTAGACATTATGGACATTATTTCACAGTAAGAAAAATCACACGAAAACAAGTTGTGTGTGAACACGTACAGCAAATAGAGCTATTGGTGCTGTCGCTGTTTGACGTAGCAGGACGGCATATCTGCACAGTTTGCATGCTCTCCGCGACGATGATGCCATGGATGCCAACGTTAAGCGGATTTTGTGATTGAATCACTGCACAGGACACGGGCAAGATAGCAAAAAAATTAGTATCGTCTACTCCAGCAGATGCTTGATCCACCGACCCACCTTCAATCCGGCATCCAGACAGATCCAGGTATTTAAGCTTGGCCTGCAGCTTTGAATTGCGCGTGCGCTGCACCTCTTCAGTAACTGACTGTACTTCACTGAGTTCGCTCTCGATCACTTGACTGACATACCGCGTCCAAATATCATTGAGTTGCTCGGCATCGCTGTACTTCATTTCTCCACCAAGCATATGCAGTCCGAGCTTTCTACGCTGGCGTGCACTTAGCAACTTGGCCGTCTGGCTTCTGCTAGCTGCCGCAATCGTTTTTTCCGCCGTCTCTGTCGCAGAAGTCTTGAAGGGGTTGTCCAACGATAACACCTTGTTTTTGAGACTGTCAACGGCATTTGAACCTGCCCTGGTGCCTTGGGTCACCGATTCCAGGTAGTTCTTGAGAGTCTCGTGTAATGCACGCGGTTTCGTCAACGTTTTTACCTGTGGTTGCTGCAATAAAAACGTCAGTATTGCACCAAATAATTCACAACTTGAGTGACTTACAAGAGAGCAGTTCTTCAACCCAACTGCCAGTAGTTCTGTATCCATCTTCTCATACATCGGATCAACTTTCACTTCCTTCTTCTCCTCCACGTCCTTCTCCCCCGACTGTTTGTCTGTCTCCTTGTCGTCTCCTCGACCATTGCCACCCTTGTCGCGCTTTTTGTCCTTGCGCTTGAGCTTCGAGTGCTGGTAGGCCTGCTGCTTGCTTCCTTTGGGCGCCGATTGTGCTGTTGCTTGAGCAGTGTACTTGGATACTGCAGGCTGTGCGGTAGATGCAAAAGCCGCGTCCAGCGACGACAGCAGGTCGGCACGCGGCCGCTTCTTGCCCCCTGCGGAAGACATTTCCAACGAATGGACCAAGTGCTACTATCGGGATCAGACCTGAGACATCATCATCAGTTCTGATGCTAATAATGCGATCTTTACCGTACATTTTACTTATTCGACATATAGGTACATTTCATGAGCTAGTGACTATCTCACTTCAATTCCAAATGGAGGGCGCCGCGCCCGCACTGCCATGGAGCTCTTGGTCCTGCGCCGACGTGGGGCAATGGCTGTGTGCGCAGGGCTTTCAAGAGCACGTGGAGCTCTTCGCCGCCAACAAGATATCGGGCGCCATCCTGCCAGAACTCACTCGCAACGCGCTTCGTGACGATTTAGGCATCGCGGCCTTCGGGGACCGAGTGCGGATCTCGCAAGCCATCGAGGCGCTGATTGCATCTTCATCCGCAGGCGAGTCTGCACCATCGCCGACTTCAATTTCGGCCACGACAACTTCAACGATGACAACTTCGCAGCAACTTAATCAAGCCTGGTTGCCTCGCGACGATTACGCGCTGGACCTCGTGGTGCTTCACGCGGCGCCGCTCGTGATCAAGGACAGCCGCCATCGCATTTATCCTATGGAGAAACTGGATCTGGAGGCGGAGCGCAGGGAGATCAGCAACTCGCTGCTTACGGACGTGCAACATAAGGCCATCCACGTGCGGTTCGACATCGCCACTGCGGATATCCTGCGCAGCCTCATGACGGCCTGGAAGTGCACAGTACTGCACTTCTCGGGTCACGGACTGGGTCAGCGAGCGGCTCTTTGCTTCGAAGATGGAGTAGGTTGCACGCATTTAATCACGCCCGATGCACTGCGACAGTTGATGTTCTCGGGTGATAGAAGACAGCAGCAAGTGCCAGGAGCGGCGCCGGTGGAGATGAAGACGGTCGACTCTGGCATTACAGGACCGAAACCGTTGGATGGCAACGTGCAGCTTGTGTTCGTCAACGCGTGCCATAGTCAGAAGGTCGCGTCAGTGTTCTTGAACGCTGGGATTCCACACGTCGTAGCGGTGCATTCCGACTCACTTGTGGTCGATGCGTCGGCTACCATGTTTGCAAAACATTTTTATTTATCATTATTTCACGGACATACAGTATCGACGGCATTCGAGATCGCGAAAGGTGCTGTACGTGCGCTACCTACTCAGAAGAGAGCTGCATGCTGTTGCGCGTGAGTTCATTTTAGTGTCTGTAGGCTTATGTACCCAATACTAAATTGTTTTTATGTTGCGATTGCTGTACAGACATCTCCACGAGCCGACGTGCACGTGGATGCGTGATGGATCGCGGCATTCGCAACACAGCGCAACTCAATGCTGTTGCAAGGGTCACGTGTTAGCATTCCCGCACGACGAATCCAGTAAATTCTTACTGCTGGGTACGGCTCCACACGACGTTGTGCTGTTTGGTGATATCCCGAATGGAAAACTGCGCGACTACACACCACGTTATCCATCTAACATTCCGTCGATGCATGGCCAGTTTATCGGCCGCAATACTGAAACTTATCTTATGGTTAAATCTCTACGCGAGAATGCCGTGACAGCGTGCTTGGGTGCGCCAGGCATCGGAAAGAGCTCTCTCATTATTTCGGTCGCACACTTTGTGCATAGTCGTCGAATGTTTCCTGATGGAGTATTTTACGTGGATTTGGAAGGCCAGAAGCTCTCAACTGTGCGTTATGCCATCGCACAGAGCATTGGTATGCCCGCAGCGGACACAGACGAAGAAGTATTCGCAGAGTTGGGGTGAGCCACGCACGACGTATTCGAGCACTTCAAGGCGATGTTGGTATTAATCTCTTCCTGTTGTTTTGTGCATGTAGGACCAAGAACTGCTTGCTCGTGCTGGACAAGGTCGAGGAACTGCTGGACGAAGATGAAAACAAGGGTGAAGAACTGCTCCACCAGCTTATTTCCGTTGCCCCAAACTTGAAATTGCTTCTTGCCTCGCGTCGCAACATGCATATTCCCAGCGTTACCCCTTACTCACTTTCAATCTCGGAGCTCCCGCTGCATACGGCGGTAAGATACTGAACGCTGGCTTATTATTGTTTTCATGTTGACTAACTCGATGGTTTCGCATGTTTAATTATGCTACAGACGGAGTTGCTATGTCTTGTTGCCCCTGGTTGTTCAACAAGCCTAGCTGAGCGCTTGGCAAGGATTTGTGGATGCCTCCCACTTGCTATCCGCGTTGTGGGCCGTGCGCTTGCTAATGCGCGAATGACTGTTACTCCTGAGCGGATGATCGAGTACTTAGAGGTAAAGAAGATGTGGTTGTCTCCACCTGATATTTGCGCAATTACTCACACTCTTTGTTTTTATTTTGCCTCATGGTATCTCACAGCGCGATGAACACAGGTTCGAGACAATCAGGGAACTCAACCAAGTGGGCCATAAAGAGTGTGTGGATCGATGTATCCGCTCATCCTTTTGTCATTTAGACGAGCCGTTGCGGTTAGCCTTCATGGCTTTCGGATTCTTTCGGGGTAGCTTCGAGATTGAAGCTGCAGAAGCCGTCCTTTCAAGTGTTTTGACCGAACAGAATGCTGCTGGAAAGTTAGCGGGAGGCAGTGGTTATTCCCTGACGTCTTCATCTTTAAGTGGTTCTGGAGGTACGACAACAAGTGCTTCAAGCACGACATACTTCCCTGCTGAAGCGTATGCGAAGAGCAATCGAAGTCGCAATCGAGATGATGACGCTTCCTCTGTTCGCAGTCTTGGGTCTCAACTTTCGAACATGGATGGCTTTGGTTTCGACAACGACGGAGCCATGACAAACGACAGCTACGACTTGCTCGATCTGGAAAGTAGCGAAGAGGTGAACGCTCGTGAAGTAATCGTCCCCTCGGCAAGTGTAGCTCTCGAGCTTCTTCACCAGTGGTCACTCGTGGAATTCGACTCCAAGACGAATCGGTATCGGATGCACAATCTCGTGCAGCTTTTTGCTGAGGAGGAAGCTGGTCGAATGGGGGACGAGTGCTTTGCTGATCCAGCATCTACGTCGAGTCCCAACTCTGCTCCTTCGTCCTTTGTCACGGCATCAATGGGTGCTCCACCCACAAGCATCCCGCTGGGAAAAGAGCTGCTTCTCACGTGGAAGCGGCGCTTTGTGCGCTACTACTGTATGATCGTTGCCAAGGCATCGCACGCATACCGTTTTGATGGCACGTTAGCGCTTTTCGACAAGGAACGCGCGAATATTGAATCGGCTATGAGGTTGGCTCATGAACTCACACAGCAGAGCATTGAACAAGTACGTGAGAGCAACCGCCGTACCCAACAAGATCTCGTAAGTGGCCAGCTTGACGAAGCCCCTGCAAGTTCAGCCAGTGCGATGAGGTCAAAGAGCGAGCCATCGTTTTTCATGGATGATGGCACCACACCCAAACCAAGTATGGAACGTCACAGCAGAAGTTTTGCTGGAAATACAAGCAATAGTAGCAACAGCAGCAGTGGTGTTGGATTTGGCCGGAGATCCACAGGAGCAGCGACGCTTAATAACTCCTCCATCGTCGACGCGCTTCTGTACAGCAATTTGGTCGTGCGCTGTCGGTTCATTTTTCGAGCACGCGTGGAGCCCCGACGCCGTATCCAGGTGGTATCCTCATGTTTGCAGCTTTCAAGAGAGACGCGCTCGTTGAATTGTACGTGTGGTAACCGAGAAAACGATCCTGCAACGCTGCTATGGGACGTGGAAGAGGCAAAGTTCGACCGCGAGCTGTCGCTGTTGGACAAGTTACCATCGTTTGAGGAGCCGCAACTGCCCGCTGCTGCAGCTGCGGCACATGATCGTTGTACCTGCGTGGGTATTCGTGAGCTCATCGCTTTGGAAGCTTTGCTATTGACGGACTTAGGCTACGCATGTTGCGATGTCACTGACTGGGTGGCGGCTGAGTATCATTATCTCGAATCGTTACGATTGCAGCGAGAGGTTCTAGGTTGGTCGGAACATCCGCAAGTAGCGGAAGTGCTGAACCAGTTTGGTATTTGCCTCAGTACGCGATGGGGATACCTTGCGCATAATGTTTGGCTGCTGCAGCACGCGGAGCGCTTATTGAAAGGAGCACTTCAAATGCGAAGCCGAGTGTTGAGCAAGAATCACCCGGAATACGCTACAAGTCTGAACAATTTGGCCAACTTTTACAAGAATTATCCAACCGCTGGAAAGCGTCGGTCTCCGTCGGCAGCACAGCGCGAAGAAGCCCGAGATTCAAGAAACCGGCATATGCGGGGAGGAAAAAATAGTGGGCGGAGAGGTGGAGGTGCCCGCTCTGGCTCCAGTCCAAGCCCAAGCAGATCAAATACCAGCAGTGAAAGCCTGAAGAGCGCTAGCCAAGATAGTGCTACGAACCATGCCGAGGCCCCGGGCAAAAGTACAACAAGTTCAAACGCTGAGGGAGAGCCACAACCCGATATTGCGAGCATGTATCGTCAATCGCTCAAGATCCGCGAGATAACACTTGGTGAAAACCACCCACAAGTTGCACAGTCGCTGAATAATTTGGCATTGTATTTGTCCAATCAGCTCGAAACGCAACAACTGAGGTAAGTAGAGAGACCACACCGTAACAGCAATGGGGGGCGCTGATTGCTGCTTTTTGTTTACAGTGAGGAGGAGCTAGCTACGCAGCGGGCCGAAATTGGACGTTTATATGAACGAGCATTACGGATTCGTCGGAGTAGACTTGGAAACGCAAGTTTCGAGACGGCTGCTACGCTCAACAACATGGGCAATTTCAAGCGCCTGGCGGTACGTCATGCGTTAGACTAGCTTCGAACGTAACGTTATCTAAGGCATTTCGTGATTTTTCTTTCGCATATTCAGAAAGATTGGCGTGGAGCAGAGGAAAACATCAAGGAGGCACTGCAGATTACGGATCGCTATTTCAATGACATTAGCCCTCGCGCCGCTCGAATTTTCATTAATCTTGCCCGCGTGTATCGAGATCAGGTACGATATTTTTTTTCTTCTAAGATTTCGTGAAGCTCATCGATTTATTTTATACTCCTAGAAACTCTATGAGGAGGCTATTGCTGCGTACAAGAAAGCACAAGATATCCGTCAGCAGCTCTTTCCTGACACCCGCGACGTTGGGTTTTGTATCGGTACGATATATTAGATCCTGGTAGTTACGTATTCCTTATCCTGTGCTAAATCTTGTCCATCCTACCAGAGCAAATTGGAAAGTGCTTACGATTGCAAGGAATGGAAGAGGAGGGCAAAGCTGTGGAAGAAAGAGGTCGGCAGATGAAAAAGCTTGGACTTTCAGCACTGGAACAAGACGAAATGGGGCAAGACGAAAGCAGCAGCAGCATGAGTGGCGAAACCAACAGCTTCAAACATGCAGTGCTAAGTGGAGACAGCGTTGAGAGCTCTGTGTCCTCGGGTCACTTGTTTGCAAAAGTCAACGTGTACGACAGCGTCGACGCTGAGGCGCTTGTTTCACGCAAGTTCAATTTCCCGGGCAAGTTGCTGGGCGAGCGCGGCATACACTTGAAAAAGATCGAGGCGATTGCCTGCGCTCAGCTGCGTTACTTCGGACCGTGGCCACAGACATTGAGTAAGTGGGGCAAGGGCCGAGGTGATGGCAAAAAGGAGATTTCCCAGCAGTCGATGCCAGAAGCTTACATCCAGATTACCAGCACTTCCGAGGCGGTACGCATTGGTATTGCAAATTTTCATGTAAAAGTGCTGATTTTATTGCTGTCAAATGCTCATGCAGGCGTTGGAACGTGCAAAAGAGCAATCTGTGCTGCTTTTACGCGAGATGAAGCTTTCGTGGGAACGGTTTCTGGCTCGCACGGCTGCGCATCAGGGTGGTGCTGGGCATCGCGGCCAGCCGCCTCCACTTCATCATCAACATGGTCGAGGTGGTGGTGCCAGTCGTGGAGGAGGAAGGGGTCGACATTTGCACTTGCATCGAACTCCAATTTCGGCGCAACTTCCACGATCAAGTAGCGCTGCCGGTGGAGCGTGGGGTAGTATAACATGACGTTCGTGTACGTAAATGCGTATAAGTGAAAGTGAACAGCCTACGTGTAGCAGAAAATGGTGGAAATAACGTTTTAAGATCCATGTATGGTAGCAGAAACATATCTGTGGTTGACTCACGTGACATCAATATCTTCAGACTCAATGGCTTCACGACACCTTCGCGCAAATTGCATGGCATTTCTATCGCTGTGCAAGCCGAACAAATTCACAATCTCTATGTGGGCGGTGGCAAAGTTGACTTCTTTCGTCACACTACATGCCGCCCGCCTTCACTACTTTCTTGCCCATACTAATCTTGCCTATTTTGTGCTGCTTACTCAACACCGTCGGCACTGCAAGCGTGCCTGTGCAAGGTTCGCTCGCCAATTTCTGTAGCTCCTTCAACGACTTGGGCTGCGAGTTGAAAATCTCGTTCACACGGCGTCGGAATGCGACGGTCACTTGTCCAAACTCCATATATCCCTGCAGTACAATTAAAACATCCGACATCAGAATAATACAAGCAAATGTTCACTTGAACACGGGCAGACGTACCGCTCCCATTTCGACGAAAAGTGAGTCCATAACCGGGAAGAGCAGGCAAAAGATAGTCTCGAACACGTGATTCTCTGGCTCGTTGACGACATCATCCCAGCACTCGTAGGCACTTAGAGGCCGTGACGACGAATAAGTCTTGGCTGGTTTCGAAGACCTTGACTTTGAAACACTCTGCGCAATCAAACGGCTGTATGTCTTCATCGCGTTCGGTGAACAGCCTTCCGAGTGCGTACCAGCGTCGCCCAAACCGAGTGTTTCAGTCAAAAGTGACGCCACGTTGATGCATGCGATTGCAAGAGGATAGTTCTTCATGTTGCCTTCACTCACACCATGTCGCGTGCGTTTCAGGATCCGCTGGAACTCACTTGATGGATAACTGGCAAAGAAAATGAGACAGTAAAGGCCAAGCAGCCCGCTGGATCGAAGATCAGATGCCGGACCTCCTCTTTGGAAGCCAACCTCGAGCCATTTCGGATCGTTATTTGATGTGAACGGTTCCCCTGGGAAGACAAGCTCCCAGAGTTTAGTGATCATCATGTTCACCGTCTTCTGATCCTTCGGCGGTCCGTTCGGCTCGGGTGTCACTTTAGCCTTGAGCATTTTTCGCAGCCGAGACACACATGACTGGAACACAGTGCGGATCTTCGCTCGCTCTTTCAGCTCGATCTCAATAATCTCTGAGGGCATACACATGGCAGCTGAGATGGCATCGTACCAGGCGCGGCACTCTGCAGTGGACGGGCACGCTAGTGCTAGACGTCCAATATAAAGTAGGCGTTTCTCTTCTCGGACCGACAGACGAAGACCCTTAAGCGCAATAACATACCATGGCCGCGTACTGGTATCTCCATCTGCTGGGTAAAACACGATACAGTTCTCGTGAAGACAGACGAACAACCGGCCTCGCAAAGTGGCGTGGGGTCCAGCATTCTTTGTCTCCAAATGGCCAGTTTTGAGTGTCAAGCGAGATGAACGCTTCTCAAGATCCTCGCCAGTTACCACATTGTCAACGATGCGCTGCAAGATCGCAAACAAATCATCTCGTGCCTCTACAGTGTCCAGGAAAATCGGCCAGGATCGATGCCGCCCGTGAAAATCGATGCTAATACCATGCTCCTCGCCTCTGGTGCGAACGCTGCTCGCCGATATACCACGTATGTCCGTAAAATGAAATGTCGTCAGGGTCTCTCCTCGCCGCGAATTCGTAAGGGTTTGCTCTGCAAAGTTCAGCTCAAGAACTCTAGTTTGAAGTCGATTCCGTGAGCTGCACTTGCGCACACCGTAGCGAACTAGGAATCCCTGGATTCCTGCTTCACGCCACAGCTGCTGGAAGTCGGTGGCACCGTCAAATGTCGAGCAATTCCCCGAGTTGATAGCATTCTGGATCGCACACACCCACTGCGTCATGTCGTAGCTGGAAGATGCTACCATACCAAATTCCCGACGCGACGAGTCTGCAGAGGTCATGACCTTGAATTCATTCTCCTTTGCGTTTTTGCCTGTGGCGACCACACAACGCGACGTTGAGCTTAGATCGATCACTTTAGTTGGTGATCCTTCAGCATCGTCCTTGGCGTATGTTAGCATCGGGCCCTGCGGCATCCGACGCAACGTAACCCAGCGTTTTCGATAGCTCGGGACCACTTCACCTCGTTTAGAAAGCCATCCCTGTCGGATAATATCTTCTGGTGTGGACATCCGCTGCATGGTCGATCTACGATATGATCCCAGCGATTTCGCTCCGCCTTCCTGATCCTGCAGACTCTGTCCTAGTCGTTCCAGGTAAACCTCGCGTCCAAATTGTGGGTTAAAATGAGCAAGATCGCTCATAGTGAAAGGTCTATCCGGTTGCATCTCTGCAACCAGCCGCGATTCGACATTCAGTGACTTGGTGATGTACCCAGCCAACGATGCCTCGATGCGTTGCTCATAAGTGCTCTGATCTCCATCACTCAATCGTCTCGTCGAACGTTTCCGATGCGGTGAGGGCGCCGAGAGGCTGTCGACACTGAGTTCGCCCTCGGACGCGAAGGAGAGAGACCTGTCCGTGTCTTCACTGATACTACGCTGACTCGAGGACTGTCTCGCGTAGCTGCTGCCACTGCTGGGTTGCGTGACGCTCAAAGTCGCGGGAGTGCGTTCTTCAATGGGGCCGATAGTCTCGTCGTCGTCGAGCTCGTCTTCGTCGATGCCGTAGCCCATTAAGCCCGTAGGTCGACCGTAGCCTCCCATGGTGCTATCGTTGTCAGGCGCCAATCGGACCGACTCGCGAACACCGAAGACCATATCGCTGCCGATCATGGAACAGCCCAGCAAGTTGTCCTGCGTGTAAATGCTTGCTCGCACAAGGTCAGCGTCGTTCTCCACGTCGGCGCCTGCATCTTTCTTGATGAGATTCTGCATAAATAGATAACGGACAAATATCGAGAGTTAGTGGAATAAATAAAGAAATGTTTCAATGATGTTCTTGTCGTACGTCCAGGGACCAGAGCAGATCGTCCGACACTTGGTCGCTCATGACGACTGCAGGTGGCGGTGGTAAGCTTCCGAAGTGTGACGGTCCTTGGCGAGCTACAACTGGAGGAGGGGGGAGTTGGTTCAGCGTGCCCAGATTCCTTGAGCTTCTGTCTGCTCAACGAGCTCGAGCGTTACCGGAATAGTCAGAGCGTGCAAACGTTACGCCGACAATTGCAAGTGCAGTACACAAATGCTACGTAAGGTGTAGCGACAGGACGAATATCCAGATCCACTCCTACCACCGAACGAAGTGAGCAACATCAACTACCACCGAACGGTACACCAATCAAAGGATCGACCAACATCACCAAGAAGGATGCACGACACCGAGATGACGAGCACCGAGGAGAAGGACGAGGAGATGCTGGTGCAGCGCGAGGATGGAGGCGCAAGTGGCGGTGGCGAACGGCAGATCCAGATCCACCCGCTGGTGATCGTGAATGTTGCGGACCACCAAACGCGGCAGAAGTGCAACTCGCAGCTGAGCCAAACGGAGGCGCCGCAGGTCATCGGCGCGCTCTTTGGTATCCAGAAAGGTCTGGATGTGGACGTCTACGACTCGTTTGAGATGAAATACGACGTCGTTAGTGGAGAGATTCAGATCGACAAAGAGTTCCTCACCTCGCGCATCCAGCAGTGTGCGTGTCTTGTAGCTTCGAAAGGACTGCATGCCTGGTACTGACACTGCTTTTTTGCAGTTTCGCAGGTTTTCCCGGGCTTTGAGCTGCTCGGATGGTACACAGTCGGCGCTAAGGCTCTTCCCAGTGATCTGGCGGTGCACCGCGTCGTAAGTATTGGCTGGTAGAATGGTTGTTGGTAGGTTGACTAACTGCGCTTTTTTGCTTCAGGTCATGGAGTTCAATGAAAGTCCGCTGTTTATAATCCTGGACCCAGAATCCAAGGGACCAAGTACCAAGAAGAAGCTGCCGATCTCGCTATTCGAGTCGGAGCTGCACATGCTCAATGGCGTGCCCAAGATGATCTTCGTCAAGGCACCATTTAAAATTGAGACGTCGGAGACGGAGGGCATCGCAATCGACCATATCTCGAAGATCGCACCTATTGGTGATGCCAGCAAGTCGTCGTGTACGTGTTCGGGTTAATGCTGCCTCAGCAGCTACGTTGGTATTGTATTGACGTATTGTTTGGTTTAATCGCTGTAGTACACCCTTACTTGGGTAACGTCCGAGACGCTGTGAAAATGTTGGACCGGCAGGTGGATGTGCTACTGCGTTTGTTGCAGGCTATGAAGATTGGCGAGGCACCTCTGGACCACAACCTATTACGCCACATCTCGAGCATTTGCAACCAGCTGCCAGCGATGAAGTCTGAGCACTTCGATGCGGCGTTTACGCAAGAATACAACGACGCGCTGCTGGTCTCGTATCTGGCCGCTCTCACGAAGGGCGCAACAAACGCGAATACCGTCGTGGACCGATTTACTACCACGCAGGAGCGCCACCACCAGCGAGGCACTCTGTTGTGATTGACGACACCAATGTCGATGATTGAAGCGGCTTTTTATGAAATTTACGACGTTTAAACCGATCTTCAGTGTTGAAACTGCATTTCTAACTAAAAGTTACGCCCACATATGTCACCAATTTTACACAAATCAACCCAATTCGGTGGTACTAGCGAATCTTCCCTTCGATGGTTCCTATTCGGGCTCATACGTGGACATACCCCACAGCCAAGTAGTAACCCAAGATGCCGATTGATATCAACCGTTTGCGCCCTGAGCGTGGCGGCGACCCGGACGCCGTGCGCGCTGACCAGAAGAAGCGCTCGCTGGACGTGGACATCGTGAACAAGGTGATCGAGCTGGACGAGCAATGGCGTAAGAAGCAGGGCGAGGTGGAGACCATCAGCATGAAGATGAACGCTCTGCAGCAAGAGATTAAGAAGCTCAGCAAGGCCAAGGAGGACTTCAAGGCTCTCAGCGATGAGCGTAAGGCACTGGCCGCTTCGCTTCCTGAGAAGAAGAAGGAGGCCGACGCCCTCAAGGAGCTCGTGGACAAGGAGCTGCCCAAGATCGGCAACACCGTGGACCCCACCGTGCCCATCTCAAACAACGAGGACGACAACGTGGTGGTTAAGACGTGGGGTACGCCCCTCCAGAAGGATGGACTGCACTTCCACCACGAGGTTCTGCACCGTATCGACGGCTACGAGCCCGAGCGCGGCGTGCAGGTGGCTGGTCACCGTGCGTACTTCCTCACGGGCTACGGTTTCCTGCTTGAACAGGCGCTCATGGCCTACGCCACGGCCTTTTTGATGAAGGCTCAGTACAAGATGCTCAAGCCCCCTTTCTTCATGAACAAGGAAGGCATGGCCGCTGTCGCGCAACTCGACGACTTCGACGAGCAGCTGTACAAGGTCATTGGCGAGGACGAAAAGTACCTCATTGCTACGTCTGAGCAGCCCATTTGCGGCTATCACAAGGGCGAGTGGCTCACGGAGAGCTCGCTGCCTCTTCGCTACGGTGGCTTCTCCACCTGCTTCCGTAAGGAGGCCGGCTCGCACGGCAAGGACACGTGGGGTATCTTCCGCGTGCACCAGTTCGACAAGATGGAGCAGTTCTGCATCACGGACCCGGAGAGCTCGGCTGCTATGCACGAGGAGATGCTGCGTCACGCTGAGGAGTTCTACCAGTCGCTTAACCTGCCCTACCGTGTGGTGAACATCGTGTCGGGTGAGCTTAACAACGCCGCTGTCAAGAAGTACGACCTGGAGGCGTGGTTCCCTGCCTACAAGGAGTACCGTGAGCTTGTGTCGGCCTCCAACTGCACGGACTTCCAGTCGCGTGCCATGGAGATTCGCTGTGGCGTCAAGAAGGAAAATCAGCGCGAGAAGAAGTACGTGCACATGCTCAACTCGACGCTCTGCGCTTCCACGCGTACGGTCTGCTGCATCCTAGAGAACTTCCAGGACGAGAATGGTGTCAAGGTCCCGGAGGTGCTGGTGCCGTTCATGGGTGGCGTCACTTACCTGCCTTTCACTCGCGAAGTCAAGGTGAACGTGCAGGCTGCTAAGATGCAGAAGGCTGCCAAAAAGAAAGGTGGTAAGCAGTAAGCGTATCCAGGTATCGTGTAGATAACGAGTAACCAGACGCGATCTCGCCAACTGCACAACACGTTGTCATTGCGCATGAACTCTTCTCTTCTCGTCTTTTGTGGTTCCTGAGAGCTCTTCAGGTTGTGCATTTAACATGTGAGGTTTTCAATTAGCTGTTTGATTCTCTAAGCGCTGGTTGTATTGTTCAGCAGTTGCTGCCAGATCGAGACACGGCAACGGTAATTCCAAACACGAAGTACCGAGCCGCCTCCACCAATATCCCCAGAGTCACCAAAGGATCATCGTGGCCGAACATCGTCTTTCCTCAATGAGTACATCCTGAGTTTGCGATTGATTTTTCGTGCAGCCCCAAGGATATCCTAATTCAGATCGCGTCTTGGTAATCAGTTCTCGTTATGGGGGAGTCAATCTTACAGCCGGTAGACCTACGATTTAGCTCCTTTCTTGAAGAAAAGCGGCGGAGGAAGTTCTCGCGGGAATAACAGTTCGTCGTTAATAACGTCGGCGCGCATGTTTCGCTGAGAGTTTGGGTCTCGAATGAGTCTATGATGAATGTGCTGTGGACTCGACGCATCCTTTCGAGCTGAACTTCTCCTGTAGTATAATATGTGCTCGCCAATGCCAGGATTCTTGGTTCTCGTCTTTGCCAATTTTCCTTTTCCGGCGTCACCACATTTGTTGCTAGAATTTCGCAAGTTCAGCGATACTATACTCGACTCGTTCGCATCCTCAACGAGCATATCTTCATCACATTGGACGCTCGAATCCTGTTTCTCGACTTCCTTGTCTACTTTCATGACTTTGTCTTCAGCTGTATCCGACGCTGTGGCGTGGTTCTCGTTCAACTCATTTTCGTCTACATTTTCGGTAGTCGCCGGTTCCGCCGTCGTCTCCTTCTCCATGAGTAGACTTGGCGGCTGTGACTTATTCACTTGAACACCCAGTGCCTGCGTCAGGTGTGGAGCTAGTGCTTTTCCCAGACACGACAGTGTGACTACTGCAGTCACACTGCCCACGCCTACATTGTGGTGATCTCCGAGTTCCCATGAACCGCTGTGACTCGCCCATTCGCAGATACGGAGCAGTCTGCTTCCGCTCAGCTCGTCATCATCCAGCAGTCCAATGTCTAGAGATAAAGGCACAGCAGCAAAAGCTCGGAGTCGGGCCCTGCCATGCTCCTTAGCTAGTAGTAGCAGTGTTAGTGGCGCTTCAGCATCTCGCTTCAGTTCGCACAGGAGCTCTTCTGGATTCGCTTCGAAGAGACAAGATTTACCATGGCACAGTTTCATCTCTACAGGTTCGATCTGCGCAGTAGAAGCCTCTGGACAAGCCAATGCATCGTCAAAAACGACGATCTCGTACTGAAGCAATTGGAAAGCTAGAAGCAAGGGGTTGGAAGATGATACAAACGGTGATACCAGGTTTAACGTGACCCCTTCGACGTAAATTTGAAGCGAGAAGAGCAGGCTAGCGTCACGCTGTGTGGGCTCACTGGGGCTGCCACAGGACGCCACTGAGACCGACTGCGCATCAATTTGTGCGCTGTCGCTGTCTTCCATTGTGTACTTTTACCAACGTGACTATTCTTGTTTGTCTTGGCCACGCATCGCTATTAGCTCAACGAAATGGTGACAAATGTAACCCCAGACTAAATCATGAAGCTCACCTTCTATTGGTTTCATTATCTGTTGACACCTGTGATCTCTTTACCGAACTCTGTTTACTTGGCTTCAATCGCCGCCTTGTAAGGGAGCGCGAGGTACTTGATGAAGTTGCGCGTCTCACAGTGACGGATGTTCTCGTCCATGACGTCGGCGTCTAGGCCATGGCGCCATGCAATATCATAGCGGGACGGGTCAGTGTGCAGGTTCTCCAGGTCGTCGACGTACTGGTCGGCGCTCTTCATATCCGCAAAGAATCCCAAACCCACGAGCTTAGCTCGGCGGCAGTACGTAAGGCGGGCAAGCTCGTGCAGGTCGTACTCCGGGTGATACTGCACAGCCCAAAAGTCGCCCTTCTTGTGACGTACTGCCACAGCCTGCACTGTTGTGAAGTCATTGCCACCCAGATTAAGTCCTCCAGGAGGCATGTGGGTCACTTCGTCGTTGTGACTCGTGAACGCGTCGAAGACCGACGGCTTTCCCTCGAACATCGGGTGTGCGCGGCCCTCCGGAGACAACTCGATCTTGCGAGCAATGCCCATCTCACGGCCACGAGGATTCGGCCCACAGTGACCTCCAGCAGCAGCCACCGCAATCTGAGCCGCCCAGCAGCTACCGTACTGCGGAATTCCTGTTAACCGCGACAGCATTTCTTGTTAGTTTTCTAATGTCCATAAGTTCGTAAGGAGTAACAGAGTCTCACCTTCCTCGAAGACTTTCTTGGCAAAGTCAATCTGCTTCGTAACACGCACATCTTCGGCGTCGTGGATCGTCAGTGAGCAGCCCGTCCACGCCACTGCGTGATACTGTCAACGTCGGAAGAGCAGTCAATTGTTGTTGCATCTCTAGCTAACTAAAGCTTTGCAGCTCACCTTGGATAATTCAGGGGTCTGGAAGTCGCTGTCCGCGGGGTATACCACATCCGACGCGACTTCCACACCAGCAGGCGCCGATTTGTTGAGCAGGTCGATGTACAACTTGCCGGCAGTGCTAGCGCCTCCAGCTTCAAGATCGGCGCGGCCTTCGGGAGAGTAGCCATCGATGACCAACACCTTCAGCGGGGAAGACGACGCAGCCGAGCTCAAGGCCCGCGAGGCGATAGCGGATTGAAGACACAGACGTCGGGAGAAGCGAGTCAACATGGCGGAGACGGCCTTGGTGCTTTGGAAGAAGTTGCGTGAGTGACTTCGCTGACCCAGACTGACAAGGTGGTGTGCACGACATCATTTTAGTATGCGCAAGTTGAAGTGCACATCTTCAACGATCGGTGGTTTGAATGTACAGATGGTGACGCTATGATGGTGACGAAACTGTACAGATGGTGGCGGAGGGTCGGCTGGGCCACCTGCCGACTCGGCACGTGCTGCGTCAGGCGGGAGCGAGTCGAGCGACAATGTTAGAGGAAACACCATCACTTGTTTAGTCCTGTGTGAACTTCATATTGTGAATGCTGCCCTTGGTGGATGACTACATGTACATGGACATCCTGTTTAGCGAGGCAATTCGAGGAGTGAAGTCGACCGAATATCCCATCATCGCTCGAAGCCCATTTGCAACGCAAGTTGCATGCATCTTGATCGCACGATCCTAGTAATAACGCGCGATCAACAAGGTTGGCTCAAGGGCCTGACTCAAATGAGTTGCTGCACACAAGAACCACAATGACGATACAGTCCGCGCCAATATATGTTGAAGTTGTCTTCTTTATAAAAATGGTTAGCTCTGTATATGGGGGTAGCGGATGTATCTGCCGACAGCCTCGGCAGTGCCGAGATTCTTGTAACAAGGCTTATTGCTTGATGCAGCATGCTTATCAAGGTAAAGCACGTAGATTTCTACTTTATTGCCAATGCAACTGGAAAGGGTCCCAAGTTATTTCACGTACAAGCTGGTATCCATGCACAGCATCTCCATTGCCATACCGTCACGAATCGGCGCATGTAGACGAGAACCCGACGACGAACGTTCTAAGGATTCCACACTCCGGTACTTCGTGCACAATGAGCAACACTCCGATAGTTCGCTGGGCAAGTTGCATGACGAACAAAATATGCTCGGCAGAAAAAACGACACACTTTCTATAAATATTTGTAAAATTAACCACCATTTTGGGCTTGACGAAGCTGTCTTGAACATAAGCTCAAACCAAAAGCAAATGACACTGGGTGGGAGGCGAGTCGCCTGGTTTTTCAGCACACAGCAAGCAGCCAGCAGTGCTTGAATCCCTCCTCCATCCTCACTGGATCTCATCAATCGAGCATTCGGATCTGGGTGACGTTGAACGCGTCGCCCCATCACCTCATCAAAAATGTGCACCACAAAATATTCCGGTGACTGTAGACTGATACCAATCAAGATACCTTGAGGGTTGCAGTCATTATCGTAAGTGCGTCAAACCCGCCGTATCTCCTGCAGCAACCCCTCCATCTCCACCATGAGTGTTATCGGAAGTCGACTTGCAGGCCAAGTGGCCGTGGTCACGGGCGCTGCCGGCGGTATCGGCCGCAAGTCGGCAATCCTGTTCGCTAAGCAGGGTGCCAAGGGCGTCGTGTGCGCCGACGTGAACGCCGACGCCGCGGCTGAGACCGTCCAGCTTGTGCAAGAAGAGCTCAAGAAGCTTGGCAAGAGCGACACAGTGGCTCTCGCTGTCCAGGCTGATGTGTCCAAGGCCAGCGACGTGGAAAACATGGTGAACGTGGCCGAGAAGGAGTTCGGCTCCCTCAACGTGCTCTTCAACAACGCCGGCATCATGCACAGCGCCGACGACGACGCTATCGCAACGCAGGAGGACGTGTGGGACCTCACCATGAACATCAACGTTAAGGGCGTCTTCCTCGGTTGCAAGTACGGTATCCCGGCCATGCGGCGTGCCGGCGGTGGCTCTATCATTAACACGGCTTCGTTTGTGGGCATCCTGGGTGCCGCTACGCCCCAGCTCGCCTACACGTCCAGCAAGGGCGCCGTCATCGCCATGTCCCGTGAGCTAGCCACGATCCACGCCCGTGAAAACATTCGCGTCAACGCTCTGTGCCCCGGTCCGCTCAATACCGAACTGTTGCAGAAGTTCTTGGACACGGAGGAGAAGAAGCAGCGTCGTCTAGTGCACGTGCCTATGGGTCGCTTTGGAGAGGCTGCTGAGATGGCCAAGGCTGCACTCTTCCTGGCTAGTGACGACGCGTCGTACATCACTGGCACGTCTTTCGTTGTTGACGGCGGCATTACGTCTGCCTACGTGACGAGCGAGGGACGAGTGGACCCCTTCGGAGGCCCCAGCGAGGTGTAAGAGGAAGGAACCAATGGATTCCACGTAGGTTTGAGAACGACAGTAGAGAAATCATTTTCTAACACACAAAACATGTAGCCCGCGTTACATTAGTCGACGAGACACGGTCCTTCAGTACGAAATCTAAAATAACGATGTGACTTGTTGCTGTTTGAGCCGAATCCAAGCAAACAGCAAGTCGATTGGTTTCATCACGTTGCTACGTGTTGGTAACAGTGTTATCAGTATCCTTCTCCATGTAAAAGCAGCATTCGGTAGGCGGATTCCCTTTAAACACGGAAGTTCCACTTCAAATCAAACCAAACAGGGTACTGTTAGCTGGAGTACAAATACGTATGGAGTTGCGATGCACTTACCGATTTGAGTTTCGTGACGCCACGGAATCCGTGCTTGGACAGGCTGATGCCCTTGCCAGAGTCGCGGTTGCCAGTCCAGGGGAGGTAGGGGTCCAGCACGTCGCATCGGTTCATGTACACTGTACCAGCGCTGATCTGCGAGCCCAGAGCCATGGCGTGTTCGCGGTCTGATGTGAACACTGACGCCGTCAATCCGTACTTGCTGTCGTTGATTTTCTTGATGGCCTCAGCATCCGATGAAACGCGTTCAACACCGACAATCGGTCCGAAGGATTCCTCCGTCATGATGTCCATGGAGCCGTTGCAGTTCGCTAGAAGGGTAGGAGAGTAGAAGCGACCCTTTCCAGCAGCATCAGTAACAATTCCGCTACCCGTCAACTGGAGAGCACCCTTTGCCACTGCGTCCTTCACATGAACATCGAGCATTTCCGGTGCAGTAGGAAGCGCCATCGGACCCATCGACGTCTTCGCGTCCGTCGGGTTACCAAGATTGTACGCCTCGAACAAACTCTTCGCCTTCTCCAAGAATTGGTCGTACTTGGACTCGTGGACGTAGATCCGCTCCACGCCACAGCACGACTGGCCGGCGTTGTAGCAAACGCCATCCACAAGACCTTCTGCTGCAGTTTCAGCGTCTGCATCGGCAGTCACGTATCCAGCGTCCTACAACAAATACATTTTGATGCTAGGTATTAGTGCATGGTTATCAGCAGCGACCAAGAGTTTGTCATCTTACATTTCCGCCCAGCTCCAATGTCACGTCGATCGAACGCTGGGATGCTACCTGCTGAACTTGACGGCCGCTGTAATTGAGAGTGCGTGCTGTTAGAGAGCAGAACTACTGTTGAAATATTTGCCAAACGTACCCTCGCACAGAGCCCGTAAACGATACGAACGCGGTCTCTGGGCGCTGGATGATCTCCGAAGCCGTGTCGTGCTCAACAAGCGACGACTGAAGCACGTTCTTCGGGAAACCCGCTTGCTCAAATGTCTTTTGGTAGTGCTCTCCACACAGAGGAGTACGAGGCGAGTGCTTCAGTAACACCGAATTGCCAGCTAGAACAGCGGGGATGATTGAGTTGACAGCCGTCATGAGCGGGTAGTTCCACGGGGCCTGTTTTCAGTTGCAAAGTGTTAGGATCGACTACTGAAAAACAATAGCCAAAAGCTGCACAGCCACTCACAATGACGTAGACGACGCCAACAGGGTCGTGCGTGATCTGACGGAACAATCCGTTCTCCTCCGGGAACGAGTCCGCTCGGAGCGCCTTGTTCGAGAGGTAGATAAGAGCCCTACGAAGCAGAGCAAATTTGGTTAGAAGAGCCTAAAAACAAGGCTTACAGCAGCACTACACATCTCGTACTTGACACGGTCGATGGTTCCGTTGACCTCGTTGCGTGCCTGCTGCACGGGCTTTCCCATCATGCCAGAGATTTCGTAAGCGATGGACTCGGTGCTGCTCTTGAGCGCGTCAATCCACTTGGTACACAGTGCCTGGCGCTCGCTCAGCGGCACATTCTTCCAGTCCAGCTGCGCCTTCACGGCTGCATCGAGCTTGGCGTGCGCCTCAGCCTTGGAGTCGTAGGCAACCTCGCAGAAGGTTTCACCCGTGTATGGGTTGTCCACCTTCAATCTGTCACAAACGACCAGTAATGTTATCAACTATCCAATGCAGTTAAAGTTAATTGCTTTTCACCGTACGCGGACGCAGCGAAGCCACGCTGGGAAGAGACCTTGGCAACTTGGCGAGAGGATGTTGCAAGCTGTAGCAATAACAGTGAGAACACTGACAGGAATCTCCCAGATTCAAAGTCGCCAATCTACCTGGGTGGCGGAGCGAAACATTTAGGAATCCAGAATGAGGAGCTGTTGGCGAATGTCAAAGTGATCTGCAACGTCATCTAGATCCGTTGTCTAGTGCCACCCAACGCTTCTGATTCGCTGATAATTCAACCGCATCCCTTCGCATCCCCATCAGGTCAAGGTCTCGATGGCGCGTCGCCATTTGTCACCAAGGTCGAGTGGCGTCTCATGGTTCTCTTGCGATCTCCACTCACCAACAAGATGCTCTGGTGCGTGGCCGCTCGCTCGCTGCAGCAACCTTCCAGGCTCAAGCCCAAGCTCCTGCACACGAGTGCGACTGCGACTCTTGATGATCATGACAAGATTCGATACCTGGTGATCGACGGCTATGTCAAGACGGGCCGAGACGTCCTCGAGGCTGGTGGCGCCACCACCGCCGGTCAATTGTACGCCAACATGCTTGTCAAGGCTACGGAACGTAGCGTCGGACGCTCTGCAGCGTACGATCTCATCTACCCCGCCGATCCGGGCTTCCTGACACCAGATCTGTCCAAGGTGAGGCAAATTTCTTGTTATTTTTGAAGTCTACAATGTTAATTGACCTTGTTGCTGCATTTGACGCATAGTATCATGGCGTGGGCTGGTCCGGGTCTTCTCTGGCGGTACACGAGCGTGACGATCCGTCGGTGGTGCAGATGATGAACCTCGCCCGTCAGAGCTTCGCTCACGGCGTGCCACAGTTCGGTAGCTGCTTTGGACTGCAGCTAGCTGTGGCCACTGCTGGTGGTGTCGTGCAAAAGAACAAATGGGGCAAAGAGCTGGGTGTGGCACGCAAGATCCGCCTTAATGCTGCAGGGCGTGCACACCCGATGTACGCGGGCAAGCCGTCAGTGTTTGACGCCTTTAGCAGCCATAAAGACGAAGTCCGAGTCATCCAGCCTGGAGGTCTGCAGCTCGCGTCAAACTCGTTCACTACGGTGCAGAGTGTTTGTCTCCGATACCTCAAGGGCGAGTTCTGGGGACTGCAATATCATCCAGAGTACGACCTGCACGAGATGGCGCGGTTACTGCACTGCCGTCGTGAGATGAACACTCAGTTGGGCTTCTTCACGGATTTGGAGGATGCCGACCGCTTCGTTGACTTGATGGAGGAATTGGCGGCGGATCCGACGCGTGAAGACCTCGCATGGCAGATTGGATATGACAAGGATGTGCTGGATGAAGATATCCGCACATGTGAAGTAAAGAACTTCGTCAAGCATCTGGTATTGCCGTATTATATGCAATGCCGGCAACAACCAGGAGACACGGAGGACAAGGGGGTCCAAGATGCTGCGTGCCAGCAAGAAGTGGCTTAACTGGCTCGTAGTTTAAGGCTTTATAAAATATATGTTTCAACGTGCTTTATCATCCGGCAATTTGAAAAGCAACATCAACTGTATTGTGAATCTGATACTACTGTAGTAGTATATGCCCTTTGCAAACTGCAAGGGATATTTACTCTTGCTTTTTGTGCACACGCTTTCTATTCTTTCGCTTGCGGAAAATGGCAATGAGAACCAACACGAGCAGAACAGCGCCACCGCAGATGAAGCCGAATTGCTTTACAGCCTCGATGAACTCGAGCTCCCGCATCATTTTGACGCCGTCCACACTGCGAGAGAGATTGTTAGCTACGTTAATGAGCGCGATGAGCTCATTGCGATGTAGCTTCGGAATTGTCGACACGTCCTCTGTGAGCAGGATCTTGATGGCTGTTCCCAATCCCATAGTTTGCAGCTTGCCCCAGAGTCGACACTTCTCGCACGTGACGCAGTCCATGATGCGACTAACATTCTGGAACTTCTCACGGAATTGCACTTCTAGCTGCTCCTTCTCTTGCTGAGCTTGTGCTAGCTGATCGAGAGTAAGTCCGTCAGCTTGAACACGAAATAGAGCGCTCTCGTCGAAGCCAGACAGCACAGACGAGCACTCAGCATACGCCGGACAGGACACTCCCGACGCTCGAGCATCATCCGATCCTTCTAGCAAGAGCTGGCGCAGAATTTCCCTCACACGAAGGTCATCAGCAGCGTTTCCCGTGTTATAATCGTAAGCCAGCAGTTCATGTCGGTACTTGCTGATCGCACGCATGACGAACAGGTAGGCAAAATAGAGATTCTGCAGCCGTTCACGGTGCTTGCCAACGCGGCTGACGAATAGCGACGGGTTAACGCCCCATTTGTCGCCGAATTTGTACGTCAGCGCGATGTGTGTGTTGATAGACGCCTGTAGCCCACTGATGAGGCGGTAGTACACACGCTCTTCAAGGCACAGGTTGTCCAGAACACTCTCTTCCGAAGGCGTGAAGCAGTTCTCCTTATAGATGGCCTGCCAGATGCGCTCGGCCTGGATGCCGCTGTACCCTGTATATCTCTCTGGGTTCTCCAGTAAATTAATGTAAGTCATCATCTCCTCCGCTTCGCCTTGAGTCGCCCAGACATTGGCACTGGAGACCTCTTCCCACTCTTTAAAAGTCTCTCCTGCCGCTGCATTCTTGCGATCGACCTTGGACAGCGTGCTTTCTCCAGTCTGTTCATCGCAGGGTTTTCCAACTTGCTCCTGGCTTTCACTGAGTCGCTCTTGTTGGTCCAACAGACTCCATGGTGGTGGGATCTCGTGTGACGGGCACTCGCAGACCGCGCAGTCGATACTAGCGCACATGCCGTCGTCCCGCCACGCCTGGAAGGGACATTCCTTGCCCAGATCCACTTTGAAGTAGCGGAAAAACGTGAGACGCGACAGCTCGTGCAGTAGCGGATGGAAGTGTTCGTTCACGGCCTTATCCACTGTCTCGTAGTCGCAAGCTGAGTCCTGTACACTGCCCGTGAGTTCCGGCGTCTGGCATACTTGGCATTGTAGATAATCCACCATGTCCTTCGGGAATAACGGATTCGGTGTGCTATTGGCGGAAGCTGCGGAGGAGGACTGTGTTGCCGCTACGACGGCGGCTGTGGCGAGCAGTCCCATCCGCCTTAAAGACGCTGTAGCGACCATTGTTGCTTGATGTCTAGCCACGTAGCTTATTGCCCAGCTGCAGCTGCTTTGAATCTGACTGACGTTTTGTATCAGCGAAAATGGAATGTCGCGTGAATGTTACGTGTGTTCATGCAACATCGCACTTCAACTTGGTTCTGTAACGCTAGATTTTTCGAGAAGCAATTGATGCACCTGAAAGTTTCAGGTTGTACCTAGATGCACAACTTGCATGCGAGTAAATAATACAGGGGCCTGAAGATCACGCTTTGGCTTGGTCAGTTCAGTAACAGTGGACCAAATTCGCAGGATATCACCTTGAGCGCACTTTTGCGAGCAATGAAGTCGCGCTCCTCACCGGATAGGAACGACATCTCGTTGGTTTGTGCGTGGCTGTGGGCCACTTGAACAAGTTTGTATGCGTGCGCCAGGTCGCGTTCCAGCAGCCCTTCGTCTGCTAAGCCCAAAGTCTTAGCGACAATTTGCCTCCATGGGTCCAACGCCGGCAGATCCTCGAGTTGCTGGTCGCACACGTCGGATGTCAAGACATCTTTGATCTTGTTGGTAACGAAGGCCGATAACGATACATGCAGCCACACCTTCCACGCGCGCTCATGATCCTTCGGTTCAAGCAGATGTTCAACCTGTTGTAGAGCCCACGCCGACGTCACTGCGTGTAGGATGACGAAATCGTTGTGCTCGATCATCATATAAAGCCAGAATGCCACGTCCAGTGCGAACACGCCATTCATTTTTGACAGATTGTATGCATTGATAGCGTCCCAGATCAAGTTGAATGCCTCACTGCTGCCTCGTTCTGGGTCACCCGACATGGTGCTCAACCGCTTCTGAATACCGCCAATCTCGAGATCAACCAGCGGCTTCGCCTGCAGCTTGCAACTCATCTCATTCAGCAGAAAATCATTGCCATTTAACATTCGCACCAGTTGCATCGCTTCATCACGTGAAAATGTTTTCTTCTCTTGCAATTCCTCGGCGTTAACTTGTTGTGGCTCGTCGAACGAAAGGTAAGCGTAATGCATGTACGTCAGTCCTTCAGCCACAAGACGTTCGCCGCCAATGTGGTAGGCGTAACCGAGCTGGATGATAGCGTGGAGTAACGCGCCAGCTAGTCCGCCGACAAGAACGGGCAAGTGTTTCTTCACTGCTTTGTCGATCCCCAACTCCTGCACTTCAGCGGCATACAGAGCTAGCAGGCCATCAAAATTCTGGCGCTTGCCGAGTAGGCCTTTCGCGCTTTCGAACGCTAGCTTCGACTCCTTCAGGAACTTCGCGCGGACGTCGGGCTGCATTACGTCATCGTGGCTGGGCTCCGCTTTCTCCAACTTGGTCGAGTAGCATTCGGCGAACTCCTCAATCTTTTCTTCGCTCGCACCGAGGTCGAAGAGTGCCACAACACCGTGCAGCAGGTGGTTGGACAGGTAGCCACCATATTCCATGCGGTAACGCAGCGTGGACCAAGTCCGCGTGAGCTGCTGCTGCACCTGCATCGCGCTAGCCATTTTTCTCTTCTTCTCAGAAAATCTTTTTGTGAGATGATGAAATCGAAAAAAAAAATAAATATTTGAGCTGTTGTATCCATTTTAACGACTTCTAGGTCGTGATTCATGGTACAAGACTGGCCCAAAGCGAGCAAAACAGCTTTTTGCTGCTACTGTGGCTAACATTTTTCGCCAAACAGTTGTGCGTATGAAAGCAATTGACAACCTCTATTATACGGTGGTCGCATTCACTTGTAACGTGCTGGAACGCATCGAAACGTAGCATTCTCTTGGGCTCTGAGTGTTTCAATTAGGCATGTGGCAGCGACTCCAGCGCGATTTAACCCTTTAAGTTAAGCCACAACTCTGGACACCCCAACCACAGCAGATACTACTTACAAGAAAACATATCAACCGCCTTCCAGTCGCTTACAACAAGAACATGGACAATAAATTAACGTTGAACTCGCCCGAGCGCAATCGGTGTTAATAATTCAACATTTCATCCCCTCGCATGAGTCGACTTTTTTTCGGACATCACTGAAGATGATAAACAGCGCAAAACGAAGCGAGCGAGATTTTACGAATATGCATTGTGGTCGGCTGTCCTGCATTGCCGATGGCAGTTTGCCATGCCGGTGTTTGTCCGGGACAAATTGTCCCTGTTAATGTTGGCTGCCAAATCAAAACTCAGATTTTCCCGTGTTGCAAACGGCTGGTCATCCTTTTTTCCTAATCCCATCATACAAAATCTCAGTCACTTCAACTGCCTGGCCAAAACTTTTATTGAGCGAAGGAGAATCTTCAAGCTCAAGCCTAAAAAAAAGGAACTCGCAACGGCCAAGCTTGCCAAAGGAAACCCTCCTCCACGCACGTCCAACGCCCCAACGCGTCACTGCCCGCCTCGTCCTCGCATCCAGCGTAGTGACACTTGCCAGCGCGCCCCTCGTTTCCTTCAACAAGAAGATACGAGGACCATCACTCTTGCATTTGGGCTCCCGAATTCCGCTTTCACTCAGCTAGGGCCGCCCGTCGAATGGGCAACGAGCAGTCTACTGCGAATGGCGCGCGCGGCGACGGCGTGCCTTTCGTGAGTTGGCAACGCAGCCCCAAGTCGCAGCCTGCCGGGGACATCGACGCGCACCTGCACAGCGTATCCTTGACGACCAGTAGCTATCATTTCGCAGAGCCCTCCAGCTACCGCTACGATCGTGTGCCGCGCGTATTAACGGGCAACGTCGTGTTTACAAACCCGCCCAAGGCCGACGGAGAGCTCAGGAACAAAGCGGAACTGCTGGGAAACATCGCAATAGTCGAACGCGGCGGCCGCGTCCATTTCCCGGACATTGTAAGGCGTCTACTGGCTGTTGGAGTCACAGGTATCGTCTTCATCGAGCGGACGGACAATAAACACGCGATCCAGTCGCTATTTGACGGCTTCCACTCGTCTGGACGCCAGCGCGTGTCCATCCCAATCGTATTGCTGTCCAAATATCATGCAGACCGACTACTATCAGATAAGCCACAGCGAATTTCAATTGAGCTGCTCTGGAGAGAACAGGCATGCAAGCACGTGGTGCCGGACGACGTGTACTTTGGAGTGCAGACTGCAGCTCGAGCTGGCGATGTGGAGCTTCTAAGACATTTGCTGGAGATCGACACGACTGGAAATGTGGTGGATGTAAGTGGCAAAAGTGTTGGTAATAGCTGCACACAAGGTGTATTTATTATAATACTTCTTGATTGCAGAATATTCCCAAGGCGGTGGCGCTGTGTGACGCTGCGGAGAACGGACATGTGGACTGCATCGAGATTTTGCACAGTCTGGGCGTCTCCATGGACGAACAAAAGGTGGTTTCTTGTTTGTGTGCGCTTTGTAGAGTAATTGCGCTGATGCTGTGGCTTCGTTATGCACAAATGACAGCCGACAGGTGTATCGTCGCTTATGATGGCCTGTTCTGTCGGTAATGTGGAAGCAGCGAGAGCGTTGTTGATGTTTGGCGCTAGTCTCGACTTGGAAGATGTACGTTTTTTTCCTTGTACGATTGCAATTGAGTCAGAATTGACGGTTAGCTCTTGTTAGGTGCACGGTATGACGGCGCTGATGGTCGCTGCGCGTGATGGCCGTGCGAACTGTGTGAGACTGCTGGTCAAGAAGGGGGCAAGAATAAACTTGTCCAGAAATCGAGTACGTGAACGGGAGCAATGTTGCAAGCGAATGGTTGCTTACTGACGAGTGATTTTATTGTGAAAACTAATGACACTTTGTAGAGCCGGGGTACTACAGCACTTCATATTGCTGCTCGTGGTGGGCTGGAAGAGTGCTGCTCGATTTTATTGCATGGGGGTGCGGAGCTTGAAACACAAAGTGTAAGTTTAACATTTTTTTGTTTCTCAGTATCTCGCAGCTTCTAACGAGCGATGTCTCGCTTCTATTTTGTTATTATGTAGCCGAACTCAACAACTGCATTAATGGAAGCTGCACGTGCGGGAAATCTTGGCTGTGTAAAGGTTCTTGTCGAGGCTGGAGCTAGTCTGATTGCAAAGGATGTAAGTGGGTGGATACTCGTGCTTACTGCGCCGATATTGACTATTTTACAAGCAACAATAATTAACGATACTTTGAAAATGTGTAGCGCGATGGTCACACCGCTGAACATCTGGCACGTATAGCTGGATATACCGATATTGAAGATTATTTACGTGAGCAAGCGGAGAGTGTACGTGGCAGTGTGCTTCGCATTGATACAGCTTATTCTTACCATTGCTTTGTTCATTAGGAATCCGTCAAGAATCATCGTCGCAAAATTGAGGAAACAGTTGCCAAGTCAAACTCAACGCTACGGGATTTGTTGAAGATTGCAAAAAGCAGTCAAATGTCGGTTGACGTCTTGTACCGAGAGATGATACGTGAGCACAAGTCGAGCATTTGGCTGGAGCAGCCTCGGATTATTTATGAAGTGTTTCGCTTGCTCACGGTTCCTGTCACCTCTCCCGACTCGGACCCTGCGGATGATCCCAACTACGGCAAATACACGGTCCAGCATTTCTGCAGTGAGGTCGCACTGTGGTACTCGCCAAAGATTTTCCAGAAGGGCTACAAGCCAGGTGGCGCTGGGTGGACATTAAATACTGGCGATGCGTATGATGTCAAGATTTCGTCCGGGTACCTGAAAGTGCTATTCAACTTCGTGTGTACTGCGGATCCGTTGGATGACGTGCTGTTGGTGCTCTTCTGCAAGGTTGTCAATCACTTGATTGTGAACCAAAATCTTGGAGAGCTTATGTGGCGATTCCTGGCTGATGAAGGGCAGTTTATCGTGCCTTGGCTAGTCGTTCATATTGGGCTTGATTCAATTCGCGACACTGTGGTGTGGCTGTTGTACTCGGACATGTCGGAAGCTGGCCAACTCAACGTGCAGAAGAGTGGCATATTCGACTGTTTGTTTGCTCGCCTGTACTCATGGCAGCGAACTCTTGGCTGGGGTGTTGGGACATCGTTTCAGCGAGACTCCATCGAGAACATTTGCTCACTGATCAACTACATCATCTATCCGCCTTCGGTGTACATCATGAACAACGTGGCTACATTCGTGGAGAACACAGACCACTCATTGCCTTTGATCACAGACCAGCACTTCCCGCTGCACCACAACGAGCTGTTCAAGTCGCTGTTGATCTTTCTACTGAACACCACAGATGTCTCGTTCGGAACGTTGCTCGATTTGGGATTCGCGGAGGTCTGTCGTCATTGCTCTCAAGGATCCAAGTCCCTTGTCGTTCGTGAAGGCGGTGCTCTTTCTATCGTCATGATGTTGATGAGCACGCTGGGATACCACAAAAAGAAACGTGATGTTACCAGCATCGACGGACTATTGAAGACGGTACATGTATCTGTTTTAACGGCTTTGATTCCGCGAGTGGAGAAATTTGTGAAGCTGTGTCGGGCGGTGGTTACGTCGGATGTCAACGCGCTTCGTGTGATGTCCACTTCATACAATCCTGGGAGTATCAAGGCCGTGAACACTAAAGGGTCCGCTCTTCTGCACATCATCACATTTTTGAAGCGGTGTGTGTTCTTGCAAAGTGGCGATGTGGATTACCTATTGGCGAACTTTGGCTTGATGCCCTGTTTGCTAGCGTGCTATGGCTCGCATCCTAGCAATAGTATGCTCCATCACGAACTTACGGACGTCATCCGATTTGTTTTGATGGACCCAGATCAGAAGCGATTGCCGTCGTCCCCGCTGCTGAATAGTCTCTTCATTGAAGGGGCGAATATTCTGGACTTTGTCATCCGCGCATACGATGAGCATGTCCAGTACAAGGGCCACATGACGACGATTGCAAACAGTATTTTCACTCTTACCAAGTACGTGTCAGCATCTGTTTGTGCGACGAACTAGTTCTTACACTAACAAATCGTTTTTCGTGTTATGTAGCACCCCGAATTGCAGGAGTGGGTCGATTGCAATTACCTGTCAAGATGTCGTGCGGCAGTATACGTCGCAGCACGAAAAATGGGTGAAATTTGAGCAAGTCCTGGCGGAGCAGAACCGTGTTGAGATGTTGCCTCTTGGTCAGCGTAATGCGCCGCTGTGTCACGGGTGTTTGAAGCTGAAACAAAGCGCAGTCGAATATGTGGCGGCAACGCTCACGAATGCTGAGGTAGACGAATACACAGGCTACTTGGAGACTATTTTCTCCGGCGCTGCGAGTCATTACTGCAAGGTCACGTACACGGACGAGTTCATCACGGGCTTCATGTACAAAAAGGACAAGATCCACGACCATATTCCTATTCCAGAGCCCACTCGAGTGAGCTCTTTCATTCAGTTCCCAGTGCCCATGCCATTCCACGCGCTCACGTTCACCATCACATTCTTCGGACTTTGTCAAGTGTGCGATAAGCTCTGGTACTGTGACACGCTTCAAAGTGCAAACTGGATGAATCGTATGAAGTGGGTCATTCCTACGTCGGTCCGCAAATGGTACAGTTTCGGTGTGACTGAGGGTCCAGGTAGCGGTGCGCACGGCCTACAGTTCTCATCGAAGGGCTACAAGAACTTTATTGTGCTCACTGATACTTGGGGCCGTCAGGAGCAGTGGATGCATGCGATCGAAGATGCTATCCAGAGTCTGGCCACGCAGATGGCAAGAGGAAACACCGAGAGTGCGATGGCTATTGAGATTGATAACGAAGTCGACGCCGAGGAGTTTGACGTGATGCGTATGAGAGAAATCACGGCTGGTTCAGGTGGCGGCGGCCCAGTAGGCGTGACCAGCCATGTGGGAAGTGCGCCAAAGAGTGACTCAAGTACTCGAAGCTTGCGTGTGTCGGACGAAGAAGAAAGCGGACGTCGTCGAAGCAACACAATGTCATCGATTGAAAGTGAATCGGCCGAGTTTAGAGACGAAGATGACCAAAGCAGTGGCACGTCGTCTCCATCGCATGAACTGACGATGCCCTCGGTGCGATCGCGATCTTCATTTGAGCTGAAGTGCAGTGAAAATGGATCAACGTCAAGTTCTCGAAAAGTAAAGTCTTCGGGCGATCGGAGGAACCTGGACTTGAAGCGCTTCCAGCCAGATACACAGAAATTCTCCGAGATCCTCGGGAAACTCAAGATCGGCTCACCACCTCGTGTAAACAAAGCCCGTGCACCTGCAATGAGTGCATCAGGCAGCTTTGCTCCTTTCGCTCAACGGAATACTGTGAGTCCTCATGGTGCAATGAGCACTCGTACAGCTACCGAGCTCGTGGGGATGCGTCACGTAGTCTCAACTCCAGACCTCACGCGACTGCAGGGCTAGTAACCAGTACCAAGCTACAATATCTCCTTCTTATCTATCTTTTGCAGAAGCTCATCAATATCAGCCGAAGGCTTGAAGAAAGAACGTTTGAAAAAAAACAGAGAACAGTGTGGTTATGTTCTATGAAGATACAAAATAGCTAGACTAGCCGAGCACCTAGCAAATGGTTCAGCTTAATCATCGCGGTTTTTCTTCTTCTTCGAAACGCGCTTGACCTTGACGACCTGCGCCGGAGCCACGTCGTGTGCGAAAAGCTTCGATACCTCGAGACCAGAGGTGAAGGCATTGTTGAACATGACACGCTGCTGGAAGGACGAGATGAAGGGCAGGAACATCGACACAATCATAATCGGCCCGAACACAATCCAACCAACGGCGCGGTCATAGGCACGAGCAAGAGCACGAACCACAATGTGGTGGTACTGCAGCCGCAAGATGCACATCTGCATGAACCAGTACACCGCCACGAACAGCAGAATGAAGATGGCGAACAGATTGCCGACCGACAGCACCGTGAGACTCAACATCGAGATGAGGAAGCAGCAGCACGAAAGCAAGAATTTGATCTTGCGCAGCTTGCGCTGCTTCATCGACATCTTCTTGGTCACACGACTGGCAATGTAACCACAGCAGATCAGCAGCAGGAAGATCACGATAACCAGACCGGACAAAGCGTAGGTCAGCATGTCGTCGTCCGACGTGATGATCCTGTTCGGTCGCTCGAAGTACGCGTTGTACATCATGTTCAGGTACATGCCGATAGCAACCAGCAGGAATCGGAGCTTGCGGACACCAGTAATGAAGCGGGCACCGCGAGTTGTGTGCTCAAGGTATTCCTGCTCATTGGACCACCAGCCAAACCAACTGTCGGCCGAGTCGTTCGTCGTCTTCAGCCAGTTCTGCCAGTCGTTGTAGTCCTCGATGATCTTGTCCCAGTCCAGACCGCTCGGGTTGAAGAAGAACGGAGCCCACATCCACGTCGCTGCAATGATCCACAGCGAGTACGACATAATACCGTAGTTCTGGTTCGTTGGCAGCACACACGACTGGTAGTGGTCATCGTAACAACGCGTTCGCCACTCGAGGTCAGTGGGCTCAACGTTGTTGTAGAAGTCCGCATCCAATCGCCATGAGCAGTTGCACCACGAGAACGTGCCGTAGGCGTAGAACATCAGCAACAGGAAGAGCAACTCAACACCACGGTAGAAGTGACTGAACGCGTAGAAACGATAAAGCTCGGCGAACTTCTCGTGCTTGATCGTGAAGCCACGACCCGTAGCGCGATACTTGGCACCACCGTGGATCAATGTGCGGTCGAAGTAGTGCATACGCGTGCCCATCTGGAACGTGAAGAAAATTGGACCAAGAGTCATGACGTTCCAGAGTAGGTAGGTAAAACCATGGCGGAAACCCTGCTCCACACCCACCACGGCGATAACAGGGACAACCAAAAGGAAACCGAACTGGAATGCCCACGATGTGTTCAATGTGCCAGCGATACCAAGACCACCCTTCTCGAGGAAGTAGCTGTCCATGCCACTCAAAGCCATGTACACCTTGCCGTAGATGAAAAAGTACACACCAACAACAGTCATTGACTGTGTGAAGTACCAACCCAAGTTGCCGTAGAACCACGAATGCAGACGGAAGAAGTCGAGACGAGAAGCCATGCGCATTGCATCACGAGAGATCACAGCTTCACCAGCACCAGAAGACAGCTTAGCCTCGAACAGAGCCAACTGTTGCATACCGACATCACGACCCTTGCCCACTTGAATGAACTCCTCGTGGGAGACGCGGCCACCACGAAGCGTACTGTTGAAACCAGCAAAAATATCTTCCGAAAGATTCACACCCTTGGAAGCCTTGGCAGTACCACCGCAACTCATAGCAAATAGCTTGTCAAAGATATCGGGGTGACCGTAGTGCTGACGCACGTGGAAGAGAGCGAGCATACGCTGACCCAGCGATACGAACGACAGTTCCTGGATCGACATGAAACTAGCAAGATTCGACACACCACCCGTGAACACGTGCTCACGGAAACCAATAATCGTCAGCGGGCGCTTCTCTGTGCCGCGGTCCATGGTCGACAGAAGGTTCGGCATCTTCAGGGCCTCTTCGAGGTAACCATCCTGGTTCATATCGATACACTGCAGCAATTCACCGCGCGAGAAGATGATGGCGTGGTTTTGGTTCTCGGGCTTACCTTCACCCACAATCGGGTTGCCCGGCAGCTCGACACGGTAAATTTCGACAATTTTTTCGTCTTGGGAGCGGATCAATACCGAGAAGAACTTCGGCGGGCCATCCTTCACCTTCTTCGGCCCATCCACATAGGCAACACGAAGGTTCGGATGCTTGCGCAACAGGAAGTCGATGTCCTGAGCTTGCTGCTTCTGCTCGTCCTTCTGCTTACCGTAGATCTGGCACGTGCACACGTAGTTAAACTTGAGAGCAACCATCTCGTTCAGCTTACAGCACTTGTTACACGAGCACGTCACTTGGTGCATCGGCTCATTTTCACCAATCTCCAGCCAGTGCAAGAAGCGAATAGCTTCCGCGTTGTACATCATACCACGCACAGTACGAGCAAGCGTCTGGCCGCGGTAACTAGCCCACAATTGTACCTCCTCTGGGTTCTTCTTCAGCGCTTCGTTCATGTCCTTGGCCTGGATACGCTCCAGGAGATTCTCCCACTCGAACGGATAGATGGTCTGCAGGTAGTACAGCAGCTTGATGCAGTCATCATTCTGCGCCGTCAGATCCTTGATCGAGTACATGACAATTTCGTTGTAGTACGGTGTCGACACAGTCAGCGAACGAATCTTACGAATAGGCTTCGCCTCAGGCATGTCCATGAAGAGCGAGTTAGCAAAGAAACGCAGGCGACGACGTCCCTCTTCCGAGCGGGGTTCGGCATCGAAGTTATCCACAGTCAGGAGCTGGTACGCACGCGACACAATGTCAAGAGCGGCCTCGTCGTTCACAATTTTCTGCAGCTGGAGACTGGCGTAGTGCTGCGAGTCGCCAGGGAAGAAGAACGAGTTTGGCTTCAGCGGTGTGTCATTCAGCATCTGGACCAAGTTCTCCTGTTTCGCCAGCACCATCTTAAGGCAGTTAATCACGGACTCCACCGAGTCAATGACCTTGTACAGTGCACGCTGGAACTTGATGCTAGTCTCAGTCGACTTCTTGGGCACCTCTAGAATGGACTTCATGAGTTCCGCAGCCGCAGCACGGCACAGGTACAAGTTGTCCAGTTTCAAGCCCTTGAGGATCTGCTGGTGCGACGCCATCTCCTCGATGAAGTTGTAGCAGTCGTCCAGCTCCTTGTGTTCCTCGCCGAGCAGGATACGCAGGACCTGAGAAGAGAACTTGTATGAACCCAGAATCGACTCTACACGCAGATCATCCTTCGTCAGACGCTCGCGCATAGTCGTTTCGATCTTCTGAAGCACCTTGTCCTTCTTTTTCTTGTCCGTTTTCAGCTTCTCATACAACGCAGAGCACTCAAGAACAATATCGATCGACTCGTCAAGCTTACCAGCCGTCAGGAAGGCCGGCGGGTACAGCTTACGGCCCACAGTGTCCTTGGAGTCGATCAAGTAGCTCAGAACGTTCAGCTCGCGGTCACTGATGACATCGGCCTCACGCAGACTGGTCAAGCAGCGGTTCCAAGCCATGGCAAACGGAATCGTGCGCTCAAACTCCGCTCCCGACACACCCGTGATGGAGCCAATGTTCGAGGAGCGGCTCGACTGCGACGACATGTCTTCGTCGGTGCCGTTCGGCGTCTTCATCTCGCTGTACACATCATCATCATCACGCTGCTCCAGCAGACTCGAGTACTTCTGCGTCTTCACCGTCAACGGCTTGGCGCCCTGAGACATCGAAATACGCTCGAAACGACGCAACGGCATGGCCATCTCGTCCTTGTCGTTCTTGTTCTTTTTGTTTTTCTTCTTTTTCTTTTTCGCTTTCTCCTCGACAATATTCGGCACCAGTTTGCGGTTAAACACACCAGGGATGGACTTGAACGTCAGACGAAGAATACGGAACGAGCGGAGCTCACCGATACGAAGGTTGAAACCAGCAAAGGAACCGTAGATGACGGACAACACCGAGTAGAAGATCTGCGCGTCGTACAAGAACACCATCCACGCTGGAACCCACAGGAACAGAATGTACACGATGTTGTGGTACGTGATCTGGAGCATGAAGTGCGAGTACTTGAGGTAATCCGTCGATTTGGCCGAGTAAACAAACAGTGTCGTTTCTACCAGTGTCTTGACGACAAACTGGTAATCGAAAGTAAGCTTAACAAGGTACAGCACGATCCAGAAGCACGTGTAGCGGCAGTACGTCTTCATCGGAACAGGCATCGAACGACCCACAAAGCCCATACCAATACCAGAGAAGAAACGGTTCTGCAGCTCGCACACGCATACCAGTCCGATCATCGCTGCTCCACCAAGGAGAGCCATTGGTCCCTTATCATCACGACCAAAGTCGATCATACCCTGCACCATATCCATAATGCGAGTCGGTTTCTTCGCGAGACTAGTGATGTCAATCTGGCATTTGCCACAGTTGAGAAGTCCATCGCCTTCGTCATCCAGAATGCTATTAACCTGTTCCAACCACGAAGGAGCACACATGCTCTGGTCGTACGAAATGGACGCCACAGAACCTTCAGTGGACACTTCATCAGCCTCACCAGAGTCACTAAAGCAGTCATCGATCAAGTCGTGGTAGCATTTGCAGCGGCCCACAGTCTTCTCCACACAGTCCGTGAAGGGCACAATCTCGATCAGTTCCTTGAAATCCTGAGGTAAAGTGCCAAAAGTCTCCGAAGCCGACGTAAAGTACTCGACGCCAAGACACGTAGCCAGCTTGGCGTACAGACATTGCGAGCCCGCTCCACTGTCCGTGTTGATATCGTCCGAGAGCGAGTCGTCCGTGTTCTCCACTGACGAAGAATCCGTCGATGCCGCGTATTTTTTCCCCAGAATCTCTAGCACACCCGTTTCAGAGGACGGTTGTACGTCCTCGCCGTACATAATTGCCGAGTCAGGACACAAGAGCACCATATCGATCGAGAAACCTAATGTTGCCAAAAACAGTGCACAATTCATCAAGAAAATGCGACGGAACGAGATGATTGCACGCGTCCAGCTTCGTGTCTCGCTGAAGGTCTTCTTGACGATCTTGGGTCGCCCCTTCTTGTCGTAGTTGGCGAAGGCCTCGCCAATGTTCGTGTGGTCATATTTCAGACACTTTTTGGTCCAAAAGAACTCGTTAAAGTCGTCGTAGTTACGAATTTCACGGTGAGGAGCACGAGCGCCCTTGCTCGTCTTCTTGTCACTGTCGCGACGCAACTCTGCGTACATGGGGCGGATCGTGTTGGCCAGGAACGTACCGGGCTCTTCGTTGCCACCACTGTTGACTTTAGGCAGCATCGAGTGCAGCAAGAAGCACAAACACTCTGGCATTTGTCGGAAGTTGGCGGCCTCGCCCCAAATGAGGAAGAAAAGCGCAATGTCCACAAGCGGATCGCTCGAGAACTTGGGCTTCTGAGAGACGTACTTGCACCACTTCTTGTAGTTGGCAAATACACGTCCATGGAGACGCGTGACGCCCTTATTGGCCAGATCCATCTCGAGCTGCGGGTCGCGCTGGCGAAGATAGTCGTCAATAGTCTCCGTGTCGTCCTGCTTTTTCTTCTTCTTCTTTTTGCCGTCGTCCTGGCCACTCTGCTCCTTAAAGTTGGTGAGCAACAGCAATAAGTGTTCCTTTTGGTTGAGTACGCTGCTCTCCTGGAAGCCGAAAGTGCGCTTAAGCGACTCGCAAATGTCGCCTAATTGGTTCGAGTTGTTAAGCAGCTGGAGAACAGGCGTGTAGACCTCGGGGAGTCGCTCCATCTCGAGGATGTTGTGCTTGATGAGGTTGCGTCCCTTTGGTCCACCGCCGACCACGCTCTTGGCGCGTTGACTCTTGATCATCTTGACGTAACGCATCATCTTGTTATTGAGGCGATCCGCCGCGTCCTTCTCGTCCGCCGAGCGGTAGCGGATACTCAGCGCCTGCTCCATGATGTCCACGGCGCGCGTGAGTTTGCGTTCGGCCTCGGCCACGTTAGGGGGCGACGCGTTCTGCATGGCCACGCCTGCGTTCACGAGACTCATGGCTTCGTCGCACATCTGGCGCTGCATCTCGAGCGCCTCCGTCATGAGGCCCACCGAGCTGCCCTCGCGCTCGCTGCCGTTGCCGTTCCCATGACCACGGCGATTCATCGCGAGTCTACTGTGCTCGTCTTTCGTATCAACAAGCACAGCCCGGCAGCGATCGCCTTTGGAAATGATGGCAGAGAAATGCTGGATATTGCCGGCGTCGCCTTTTCCGCGGGGGGCCAAGGAAACTCCTCAGAGAGGGAGCCAGCTCGATCATACCTACCCCTACCTAGTTGGGACGAAAACGCTGCGAATCGAACTGGCGATCGGCAAAATGCGATTCCAAAGGTGCACATGGTCCCTGCTGCGCCGAGAAAAGCTGTACGCCAGCGGCCCATGTGGTGAGTAGGATGCCGCTCCACTCGGCTCGGTGCTTTGTAGGAATCATGGGCTTCTAAAGCAGTGAAAGGCGACTCGGTGTGAAGGCGTCATCAGTTACAGCGAGACGACCGAGAACACAAGTGTAGTAGAAAAACAAAACTTGACTATTTATCAATGATTCCAACCTGGTTTGGAGAATCACTGCTGTCGAGATATTAATGTTGGCAGGGTAGCCCCGCCCCAAGTGTATGCTGGAACTGAGAAACGGCAGAGCAAGGTTATCTCGACCATACGATCATGGACCCTCTTGAATCATAAGGTGCGTTGTGTAGGGGCCCCAAACAACGACGTTGAGGAGCCATCAGCGCTGACGGCATATTGATCATTTTGATGGACGACACTCGCGAATTTTCACAGGATCCATTTCAATCCAAAATTGGTCAGTCAGACCAAAAAAGTGTAGCCAAATATTGCACTTGATCTTCGTATGAAATTTGAAAAGATCCAATAAAAGGGCGCAATGTGAGACAAGCCGTGCCGTAATCGGACCATTTTACAATTTTTGTGCTGAGTAATACAACCCAACAGCGCTCAACTCCGTCGTCAGCCCCGAAATGACGACCGTCCTTCCGACGTGCCTGCCGCTGTAAATGGAGCTTGCCGCAAGGTCGCCGCTGCTGCGCTGCAGTCACCGATGTATGCTCCGCTCCGTTAAATGTATGACGTCGGAAGCTCGTTGATCGCGAGGACGGACGTGGCGATCTAGGAGCTCATTTGCGCTCTGACGATCTTGCCTGTCCTCGAATTGCACGTTTCATCAAAGAGACAATAATGCATGTTCAGTGCCATCGCTGGCGTGTATTGTTTTGCTATGAGATACTGGATATGGCATGCGTACAAAAAGCATCATGGAATGAAAAAGCAGAGGCCACCGCACCGCCAGCCATCGATGGCGTGCGCGCACCATGAGCGTGACGGAATGGTCCAAAAGTCTGTGAAGACCCTTGACCCCATTCCAACACGATCCAACTGGGATGCCACGCCGGCCTTTACGATTTGCTACGTCTAGTCACTTCGCTTCTTCTTCTTGGCCACACGCTTCACCTTGACGATCTTGCTCGTAGACGACGCCGCCTCGTTCGCAAAGAGCTTCGACACCTCGAGTCCGGATGTGAACGCGTTGTTGAACATGACACGCTGCTGGAAGGACGAAAGGAACGGCAGGAACATGGCAATGAAGAGCACCGGACCCAAAATGATCCAGCCAACCCACCGGTCGTACGACCGCGCCATCGCGCGCACCACCACGTGGCTTGTCTGGTTACGGTAGACGCACAGCTGGAGGAACCAGTACGCGGCGATCAAGATGATGATGATGATCTCTAGCAAGTTGATGAGCGAGATGACCAACAGACTCGCGCATGCCACTAGCAGACCACAGCAAGAGAGCACGAACTTCATCTTACGCAGCTTCTTCTGCTTGAAGGTCAATTTCTTCTTGACACGACTGGCGATGTAGCCGCAACACAGCAGTAGCAGCACCAAGATAAACATGGCACCGGACAGTGCGTACGAGATAATGGATCCCTTCACGATCTTCAGATCCTGGTCCTCGTAGTACGTCTTGTACGCTAGCTGCAGGTACAAGCCGTAAGCGACGAAGAAAAAGCGCATCTTACGGATCATCGACACAATACGCGCGCCCTTCGTCGAGTGCTCCAGGTACTCTACTTCATTAGACCACCAACCCGACCAGCTAGCAGCCGAGTCATTGGTAGTCTTGAGCCAGTTCTGCCAGTCGTTGTAGTCCTCGATCAGCTTGTCCCAATCAAAGCCACTTGGATTGAAGAAGAACGGAGCCCACAGCCACGTCGCTGCAATGATCCACAGCGAGTACGACATAACACCATAGTTTTGGTTGGTCGGCTCAACACACGTCTGGTAGTAGTTAGCGTAGCATCGAGTGTTCCAGTCATTGTCCGAAGGCTTGTAGTAGTTGTAGAATAGAGCATCCTGCGTCCACGAGCAGTTGCACCACGAGAACGTGCCGTACGCACGGAATAAGATCAGCAGGAAGATAAGCTCCACAGCACGGTAGAAGTGACTGAACGCGTAGAAACGATAAAGCTCGGCGAACTTCTCGTGCTTGATAGTGAAGCCACGACCCGTAGCGCGATACTTGGCACCACCGTGGATCAACGTGCGGTCGAAGTAGTGCATACGGGTGCCCATCTGGAACGTGAAGAACAGCGGACCAAGGGTCAAAATGTTCCACAGCAGATAAGTAACACCATGACGGAAGCCCTGTTCCACACCCACCACGGCAACAACCGGCACCACAAGCAAGAAGCCGAACTGGAACGCCCACGATGTGTTCAATGTGCCACCAATACCAAGACCACCCTTCTCGAGGAAGAAGCTGTCCATGCCACTCAAAGCCATGTACACCTTGCCGTAGATGAAAAAGTACACACCAACAACCGTCATCGTCTGTGTGAAGTACCAACCCAAGTTACCGTAGAACCACGAATGCAGACGGAAGAAGTCGAGACGAGAAGCCATGCGCATCGCATCACGAGAAATCACACACTCGCCGGCACCAGAAGACAGCTTAGCCTCGAACAGAGCCAACTGTTGCATACCGACATCACGACCCTTGCCCACTTGGATGAACTCCTCGTGGGAGACGCGGCCACCACGAAGCGTACTGTTGAAACCAGCGAAAATATCTTCCGAAAGATTCACACCCTTGGAAGCCTTGGCAGTACCACCACAGCCCATGGCAAACAGCTTGTCAAAGATATCGGGGTGACCGTAGTGCTGGCGCACGTGATTGATAGCCAGCATACGCTGACCCAGCGATACGAACGACAGTTCCTGGATCGACATGAAACTAGCAAGATTCGACACACCACCCGTGAACACGTGCTCACGGAAACCAATAATCGTAAGAGGGACCTTGGCAGTCTCAGTGTCCTTCGTTGACAGAAGGTTCGGCATCTTCAGGGCCTCTTCGAGGTAACCATCCTGGTTCATATCAATACACTGCAGCAGCTCACCACGCGAGAAGATGATGGCGTGGTTTTGGTTCTCGGGCTTACCTTCACCAATGATCGGGTTGCCCGGCAGCTCCACACGGTACACCTCAGCAATGTTCTCGCCGTCAGCACGAACCAGGACAGAGAAGAACTTGGGCGGTCCCTCCTTCATCTTTTTCGGACCGTCCACATAAGCCACACGAAGACTTGGGTGCTTGCGGAGCAGATATTCCAGGTCGGCAGCCTGTTGCCGCTGCTCATCCTTCTGCTTACCATAAATCTGGCACGTGCAAACGTAGTTGAACTTGAGAGCGACCATTTCATCCAGACGCTTACACTTGTTGCAAGGGCAGCCAAACTGGTGCATGACCTCGTTCTCACAGATTTCGAGCCAGTGCAGGAAGCGGATAGCATCCTCGTTGTACATCATACCACGCACAGTACGAGCAAGCGTCTGACCACGGTAACTAGCCCACATCTGGACTTCCTCCGGGTATTTTTTCAGAGCCTCCTCCATGTCCTTAGCCTGAAGACGTTCAAGCAAGTTCTCCCACTCGAAAGGGTAGATGGTCTTCAGGTAGTACAGCAGCTTGATACTGTCGTCGTTTTGAGCAGTCAAATCCTTGATCGAGTACATGACAATTTCGTTGTAGTACGGCGTAGACACTGTCAGCGAACGAATCTTGCGAATTGGCTTGGCATCAGGCATGTCCATGAACAAAGAGTTAGCGAAGAAACGCA